TGGAAAAAAGAAGAAAAAAGTGGATGATTTTCGTCTCCACGGTGGACCCAGTCTCACATTTTCTCACCTTTCTTTCACGTTCGTTTAGTCAATTCTTTTACCTATATTTCTCCAATTCCATCATCCTCGTCTCCTGTATGTCTCTCTTAAGGTTGCAGACAGAGAGGCAGAGAGAGAATGGGTCTCATTTCAATGTAACTGAGGCTGTAAATCCTAAGTCTTCTGCGTCTTGTTCTGCTGCTTCGCAACCTGGAGTAAGTTCTTCAGAGGTTTCTGCTTATAAATCATGAAAATTCTCTTGCTTTGATTTAGATTCCGCAGTAACTGCTCATAAATCCTGTATGCCTGAATGGAATTCTGTTGCTCCTGATTTGGGAACTTGTGGGAAGTAGAAATTTTCTTCTGGGTGTCTGGTTGGCAAGAAAAGATGGGGGGAAAAAAACTTGAGAGCATTTCAGTGAAGGGAAAGGGTAGTGATGTAGCCTTTCACTGTGGTAAACACACAGCTGAAGAACTCTGCTTGATCAATTCATGTCTATATAGAACTTAATTATAGGATTAAATTCGTTTGCTTTTGCCCTTTACATAACATCTTGCAGGCCTTTGAATTAGTCTTAACTTCATTGTGTTTTTTCAAACAATACAATGGAGTTACAAACTGCTTTCTATTTGATCATGTGCTTGTTTGCATCTGTACTTCGATTTCTGTTTTTCTTATTCCTGTTTGATTTCAGGGAAAACTTGGGAAGGATGCCGGGAAAATCTGATGTGGAAGATAAGAGGTATGAAGGTGGAGGGCAGATTCAGTTTCAATCAGGCATTTTCTCTCAGCCATGGTGGCGTGGTGTGGAGGAAAATGCCTCTAAGTCATCTTCAGTATACCAGATTAGTGGTTCAGTCATGAATTCACCAGTTAATGAAGGAGCAAATAAAGTTGATTTTCATAAGCAGACACAGCCTATGGTTTCACCTTCACTTTCTGCAGTTGGTACGTTTGGTGTCTGTGTTTTGACATCTTAGTCGCAGCTGTATGTTACGTCATAATCTTAACATCTATCCTTCTATTTTCTGGTGACAACATCAATCCTTTCATACAGTACGATTTGTGTGATTTGATAATTTTTTTTCCCACTTAACTCAACTGTGATTGGCGATAACCTATCAATTTTTATAACAACATGGGATGTTTTCATATCTTGCATGCTATACCTCTCCTATAATGATGAAAAGGACAAGTAATCCCTTGAGTGAGGCCTAGGAAAACCAAAAATTGATGGTATAGGTCCACGATTTTCTTCTTCATTTCTTTTCTCAGAATTCCCTTCTCGTCTGTTGGTAATAGAACATAAGTGGGAACTAATTTAACTTGGCCCTACCATGAATTCTGCATGCACACGAGCTTCATATGATATCTAAAGAAATTCTTGTTGATTTCAGGTGGGAATGTCAACAAAGATGACCAAAACAACAAATATGTTATGTCCTCTTCACCAAATGCCATGGGCAAACACCTTAGTTCAAATTCCCAAGCCGAACTTGTCAGTCATTCGATTGTAAGATATATCTAAATCCCTTCACAAGAGTACAAAAAGGAGGAACTAGTAGTTGGGAGGTTTATAGCTAGTCAATGCCAGGGCTCAATACCCTTCTTTTCTTTCAGAAAAATATTTTGGCAATTTACCGGATCTATTATTTTGTGCAACGTTTGATTTGGGTTTTCTTAGTACATGCAGATTTTAACCTCTTACCCTTACTCAGAAGCACAGTATGCTGGAATCTTGGCATCTCATGGGCCTCACAATATGGTCTGTATGCTAACTGCTGTTTGGTATCAGAAATACAGTGATTTTCTGTGTGGTTATATTTGTACATAATGTTTGCTTCTCCATAAATAAAGGGTATGTTAAAACTTATAAGTTTCTTTGAAGTGAAAGAAAAAGTGAAACGAAGATCGGAGGTTTGTGCAGAACTCTTTTCTTTCTTTCCACTCACTCCATTTTCCTTTCTATCTCTCTGTTACTCCAGAAACACTTCACAGGCATGTAACTTCATAAGATCCAAATCCGACCAACCTATCTATGTATGCTATGAATGAACTATAATTACCCAGTGTCATGCAGTTCCTTTCACGATGAACTTGTTTCTCAATATGCCTTTCCCTCAAATTCAATCTCCCTGACACTTTGTCCACGTGTGATGCTTCTTACATTTCTCAAGATTCTAATTGAACTAAATAAATGTATTAAGTTCTTGTTGATTTGCTTTTCCCTAACTGCTACTGTCATGGTGCTAGATAAATCCTCAGTTGTATGGAATGCACCAGGCTAGAATGCCCTTGCCACTAGAGATGGAAGAGGAGCCTGTTTATGTCAATGCAAAGCAGTATCATGGTATCTTAAGGCGAAGGCAGTCACGTGCTAAGGCTGAGCTTGAAAGGAAAGTTATTAAAGTTAGAAAGGTATGGTTGATATGTTGATTTAGTTGTCCAAACTCAAACCTTCAATTTCAACATTTCAGTATTTTCATGTTTATTTAATATCTTAACCATTGTGTGGAAGCCAAGAGTATATAGGTTTTAAAAGACAAACAACTAATGTGAGAATAATATAAAATCTCTTTAATTTCTGCAAGGGGGAAAAAGATCCTTACATTGTTTATTGCAATTCTTAATTTTAATGAATGAAATACTGTAAATAGTCCATGTCTAAGCAATCAATGTGACTCTGGACAAAATGAGCGCACCAGTTTAATGTAGCATTTCAGTATATACATTCACAACTCTATTGTGTCGGTATTTGGGGAAATTAATGAAATGGGCATCATACAATCATCTCTTTGTATCATTATCTTTCCTATGATATTACTAAACTATTGCAGAGGATTCAGACTTCTTTGTTTACCCTCCATTTGTCTCGCATGTAAGAGATCATATTATTACAATACTTCATCTTTCTTCCCCCTTTTACCAGCCATATCTTCACGAATCTCGTCACCAACATGCTATGAGAAGGGCAAGAGGGTGTGGGGGTCGCTTTCTGAATACGAAGAAGCTTGAAAATATCAATTCCAATGTTGCTCCCGAAAAAGACAAGAACAATGGTTCAAACCCTTTGTCAATATCTGCCAACACACCCTCCTCTGACCATTCTCTAATCAACAATGAGATTTTCGGCTCATCGAAGAATCATCATGACATGTCGGTGTCCATGGTGGGGAACATGCACAGTGGAGACTTATTTGGTCGAGAGAGGGGAAGCATGCAGATTCACGGAGCCTCAAATATGGCCATCAAATGAAAATCTTCTGAGTTGGTGGATTTTCTCAGGTATTGGATGGGTTAAGTTCTAGAAAACGTGACCTTGTTTGGTATCTTAGATGGATAGGGATTTCCTTTCTTTCTTCCTTTACAATGTCTATTATATTAGATTAGTCAATGGCATCGTGCAATTCACATGGTCGACCCCACTTAGTGAGGTAAAGCTCGTTTACTATATTTTTCAGAGGTTTTATGAGTGGGACTGGGCATGACCTTGGTCAGGTCCCTAGCCTGGCATGGCTATGTTTTTGGCCTTTGACGTCCAATTAGACTTAAAATTAACTATTTCTGTTTCCCCATAATTTGTGAAAAAAGAACAAGGATATAAAATTTATTATATATTCTCAACAATCATTTTTTTTTTGGTTGCCTTCTTTTCTGTTTTGTATATATACTGTATTGTTATGGTTGCATGTTTCATCATTAGCCTAATAGGAGTTTCAATTTATGCAGGTGAAGAGGCCAAAGGCTTGTCTCTTCCTTCTAGAAAGTAGGAAACCACCCTCACAGGCAACTCATTCTTGGCTCGGTTACTTTGGTTAAAGGGGTTGAGATCATTCTGCGATTGGTCTCCCTTTGGTTTGGTTTATTTGTTAAATAGATGAGATATGAAGTGAAATAATGGTTTTTTATAGTTTCTGAACTTGTCCACGAGATGGACTTGTGAATGTGAGTACATGAATCTGGATTTAGTGGTTACTGACTTCATGAATTCTAAAGTTCTTTTTAATACTTCCATATTTTTAGAACTTTGTCACCCCACTTGCCTTACCATGACTTTTTGTGTTTGTGTTCTTTTTTCAAAAACAAATGTTTTTTAGCTTACAGAATGTTGTCTTAAGGTTGCCTTTCTTGCGGCAATTTTGAATAATGAATAGGAAAACACTACCTCCGGTCTTTGGTCCTAAATATAAGTCAATCTATTTTGTCTCTTATATTTATATTTTTTTTCCGAAGTAGCCCTTCTAACAATGACAGTTCTAGTCAATACACTTGATTAGCAAGGATATTTTAGAAAAGACAACACCTATTTAAGACAACAACTAACTCAACTTACTTTCTTAATCTTCTCAAATTAGTTAACTGGTTTTTATAATTAGGACCGGAGGTAGTATTTGTCGTGTCATCAATAAAACCACAGTCAAATGAGTAGTTAAGGCTTCCCCACATTAACGTTGATGATAACATTCCGTATTTTTATTTGTTTGTAATACAAGAATAGCGTGATGTACCCCTCACGCTTACACCTATGATTAATTAATTCATTTTCACTTTATATTGGACCCTCAAAATTTGAACCCTGCTTTCTCTTTATAGGAAATGTTGATTGGTTGAGATTCCAGAGACCAGAAGACATCGGCTGCACATCCATTTAAATATTTAACTGCCCAAAAAATCAATTTAAAAACAAGAAAAATCATATCCAAAAATCCTACCAGAAAGATTTAAAATTTCCAATTAATAAAGTGAAAGTCGCAATCAAATTGTGAAGATTTATTGTTGTTCTAAAAAAATTAAAATTTAACCAACTTTATAAATATTTTTCTTAGAATATTAATTTTAACAGTAATTTTCATGTTGGAGGATAATTATAAGTTTTTAAATATTTTAATCTCATTTTAATCAAGTTGGGTCGGTAAATGTAATTATACACAAGCTTTGTAATCAAAGAGTCGGCACTTTGTGTCCTCTGAATATATATATATATATATATATATATATATATGCATGTATGCATGTATAAAACAAACAAGTGAATGAGAATGATGTGTAAAAGAGTACAGAGGCAGCAGGGGATGCATTATCTTCTGTTACGAGTTAAGACTCTCAGAGTTTGGCCTGTGCTTGCAGTTGTTCCTGTGAGAGAACCATGACTTGTTAGAATGCAAATAAGAGAAGAAGGGGAAAAAATAAAAATACATATTACTGCAACTCATGTCTAAATACAAATTTTTTATATCATCAACGAATAGAGTATTTTCTAGCTATACGTACTGAAGTTGAAATAAGTTTGTGCGCTCAGAACTATATTGAGGATCATATTTTGCCATCAGATATCATATCATTACATAATGAACTAAACCTTCTGATTTGTTATCTATTGCATAATCCTTCATTGGGTCATTGAAACCAGTTGTCAATTTTTTAAGGGTTCGAGTACGAAACTAAGTCTAAAACATCGCTCTTTCGAAAATTGGGTAAAATTGTTTCTTAAATATGCATTGTGTTCTGTGATATGACTTTTAAAGTTCGAAAACCCAAAAGTTGTGGCACGCCAGGATTTTCTTATTATTTTCTTCCCCCAGTGGGGTATCATAGGTAACATATCACTACTATAAGAGCCAGATAATTAATTCGAGGACATTAAGAAAATTAATTAAGTTTATTATTTATAATAAATGTGTCTTGATTTTCTTAAACTACTCTTTTAATCATATATATTAGAACCACCCCTTGATTGGAAATCCCTAAATATGCCCAATCAATAGGGATATTTTGGGTAGAAATTATAAATTTAGAAGGCAAAGTGAACTATAGTATTATATTTAGAGTTAAAGTGAACTCCTTATTTGGCTCCCATGTTTAGTATTAGAGGTAGTACTTGGGTTATCTTGCAGATTTGCCAGATCCTATAAATCTAACCAGAAAATTTAGCAACTTGTATCAAAGTGATATATCCAATATTGCATCATGCTAAAACTCTGCATTAAGGAAAGTAAAATGGAAAAAGTAAGAGCACGCTGTTGGTTCGGTTTTACCTTGAAAGCCTGGGAACCGAACCAGAACTGAAATGAATTAGGACCACTTTTCAAAAATTTAGTTAAATTAAGAGGGTGTTTGGCTTAGCTTATTTTACCTATGACAAAGTTGTTGGAATCATGGGGAATTTTAAACTGGACATGAGGGATGTGTTAACCACCAAAAAAAAAAATCAATTTTCAGCTTATTCTGATAAGTTATTTGGAATAGCTTCAATAGCAACTAGCTTATCAAAATATGCTGAAAATAGGCCCCCCCCCCCCCCCCAAAAAAAAAAATCTATGATTAGCCTAAGGTTCTCCCAACAACTCCCATACTCCTGGGAACTTTCTCATGTTTAACTTAACCGAAATCACTTTTTTTTTAGTAACTGCCCCTTAATCAGTTTGGGCATGTACGTCAAGAATTTGTATTCGCTTTTGCAGTTTTTGTTCCATTTTAGGTCATCTTGATTTGACGTTGAACACACTTAAATACCACCAAGCTTAAAGCACATTGGCCAACATAACATTTTATTTGAAGACTTTATCTGTTGTCAAAGTCGAATTTCTCAAATTCCATCTCAAGCATATTGTTTGAAGCTTTACCAACTTTTCTCATTGAAACCATAGGAGATAAGGTCAATTGGAAGATAGAATGAACTAGAGCGATATGAAGGATAAACAAGTTGATTCACACTAACCTCTGTCACAAAGAAGGCATGGAAACCATATGGAACTCTGTGTGGCAATTCAACAACTGCAACAGGATCAGCTGACATTGTCTTTGCATCGATGACGTGCGCTGCTGATTTTCTGCAGTATTGTAATTAAAATTCATTCTTAGACTTTAGTCTTCTAAAAATGGAACACAAAACTTCATTATATCCAACATAAATTTTTAAAGTAGAGGGAACTGTCCCGCCCCAGATAAGAGTAATGCCATTAAGACTGCATTTGGTACACAGAAAAGGAACTAGAGGAAGGAAAAGGATGGGTGAAAGTATTTTTGCTATGCTTTATATATAGCATGTTGAATTTCTTGAAAAGAGAGCTTCCCAAATATATAGGAAAGAGCTTTGTCATCCTATTTCCCTCATTCCCATTATACCAAAGGGGCCGTAAAATCACTCTCTTACGGTGAAGAGGAAAGACATACCCCGTATTCTCGTCGTGCACGAAAAATATCAAGTATCCATCATCTTCCTCCGAATCAGTGCCAGGCACGCGAGGGACATAAATAGCCTCAGAACCAAATCTCCCTGGCCCCAAGTCATAGATACCCAGAATGTTTCCTCCAACTTCAAGCTTTGTTTTCCCAGAATCTGGTTCAGCGTGCAGATCAAATTTGATAATACCTGTGATTTTGGCAATGCTGTCTAATATGGTTCCATAAACGTATCGCTGCCTCCTGAATTTGAGAATGGAAATAGTAAATACAAGTGATGGAAAACAAGAATTAATTATATTCACTGTCCTAATTTTATCTTAGAACATTATTTGAAAATCACATATGGGAGCATCGCTCCATCTTTATCCCCTTGAACACAGAAGAAAAGAAGAGGATGGATATTGAAAGTTACAACCACAAACTTAATGGACAAGTTCAGAATCTAGTTCTAAATGTTCATTACCCAGAGAAGTTCCTTCGCTTGTATAAACCTACGTATACCCTGAATTCCGCCAAAACAGATGAGATAAACTTACCTGCCAGTATAGCTCTCGTTTACTCTAGGAAAATCTACAGCAGATGCTGATAGTTTCCTCTGTGAAGCTAGACCAGTTTTCATGTTGAATCTCATTTCATACCTAAGACAGTTAGTGATAAACGTGTAAGATAAACAAAACATGTCCAGTAGTTAGAGTTCCACTAATGAGACATAGGATTGAGATTATTTACAGCTCATTTACAAAATTATCAAGCTTTTCCTTGACAGCACCCCCGACCATGTCCAGATCTGGATTCTCAAGACGGCAGGTAATCAAAACGACATCCTCCTCCTCCTCCCAAGCATTAGCTAGAACAGAACATTATGTAAAAGATTATAAAGCAGATTTGAACAATCAATGATAATTAATGACGTTAAATGCAGATTGATAGTTTGATTTTTTTTTTTTTTCCTTTTTCAAAGTTTCATAGCTAATGATGTTTCACATGTGATGGTATATGTCCTCAGTACAAGCCTGTTTCGTATACACAAAGATGTCTAAAAGCCAATAATTATTGACGGCCCCAATCCATATGACATTTCTCCTCTTCTCATATACAGTGCTAAGCATATTATTGCAAGAAATGTTAAACTTCCACATAGCTATCCATCAATTGACACAGCCTACAGGCTTGACGGGAGAATCCATCATGCTTGAGCCAGAACTTAAATGCTGTTGCAATGCACTCAACATTTATTGAAATTTTACTGAATCATAATCACAGGACGTCAATCAAGAATTTTTGTCAAGGAGAAACAGGGACAAATAAACACACCATTGTGAAATATGAAGCAGTTTGGAAGCTCAAACCATCTAATTTGCATCTCATTCTTGGCATATCGAGGCAGTACCCCAAAACGAGCTTTTTTGGTTGAATCAAACGAGAATATCATTTTTTTCTCCTTCACCATTTCCTGAAAAAGTATATTTCATTCAACAAACCAAGTTTTATAAACTACCTCAATTGGTACTTAACAGAAACAAAACAAAAGATGCAGAAGAAGATCATCAACATTTAAGATCTTTATTCTTCACACACCACTTAATAGTTCGTACTTTGAATTAAGATAAACAATAATGATCTGATTATGTTATCTGTAAAAGTAAAATTCGTGCTGGAGATCCTTCTTAGCGTCATACTATCATAGATGTTTTATTTAAAGCTATTTCACCAAAGTACATGGGCAAACGCTTTTTTATTTTGATACCTAGTAGATGAGAGAAATATGGAAGACTCGATTTCTGCATCACCATCCATGATAAATTATAAAAGTGAAAAAGCTGCAGTACCTTTGGTCTAAAATACAAAGGAAGATCCATGAATATTGCATAATTCTCTGTGATGGCGAAATCATGCATCATGATGGGCTCTGATATTGTTATAGGTACAGGATCATGCATATATCCGTCCTTTGAGATTACTCTGTAAGTTATATATGGTGGCGTATGTGAATAGCCAAATGTGAACATCTCACCTGCATGCAGGAAAATTATTGTTTGGTGAAAATTATTTCACCAAATCAGACCGAAAATATATAATTCAATGATGAATTTACCAGTAAACGGGTCAACTTTTGGATGAGCAGTGAAGGAATGGTTCAATCTCTTGTCATAGTCCAGTAGGCCAAGAGTTTGCAAATCCCCATCTTCAAAAACTTTAACGGCATCTGCCAAAATAAATGAATAAATAACTTCAGTCCCACTTTGGAAGAAATCAAATAAACATTAATTAGTTTAATCCCTCAAGAGAGAAAGAACCCTATAAAACCTAAATTAAGTTGGCATAAAGAGACAACCAATCAATCTTTTCAATCCCTGCTTTTATTCAATGAAATTTCAGATAAAATCAGCATCTATATGCTTCTCAGAAAATTAACAGATAGAAGTTGTACTCACAAGGTTTATCTCCTTCAGAGAGTGCTAGAAGCTTTCCATGGTGATATACAAGAGCTGTGTTAGCTGGAACAATATGAGAACAATCTAATGAAGGAACGCTCAACAGGTGTATAATATGCATATACTATACTTTCTATAGCATCCACACTGAAGAGGGACCCATACATAATTTAACACTTATACAATCCTCAAATAAGGAATATGTTAAGAAACACTGAAATTATAACAGAAACACTTAAGCAGATTTATGACCGTTCCACCGGACATTGAATTTTAAAAGATGTTAGACAGCCAGAGTTACCTGTTCCATGTCCATAAGACATATCTAGTACTTTCAATTTAGCTCTTAGCATTTGCATGTTAACCATTATAAGTCCAAAAAAACCTTTAAGATCTCCAATCTGAAAAATGACGTGAAAAGATGTTACAGCTGGGAATCTAAAACAAACATCTATATCAATAGTACGTAATCTTTCACTAAATTCCATTTTAACTTTCATTTTGGAAGGGGGTTCAAGTTCTGACACAGCTAAGGTTTACACTCTTCAATACACCAAAAGAACAACAGTGTTTTACCTCCAAAACAATAAATAAATAAAAGAAAGAGAAGAAAGAACAATTACCAGAACAGGCAAAAGATGCAAATGAGGGCATATAAGGAAGTGAAAGACAGATAATAAGTATGGTAAAATCATGTGACATGGAGGTGATCACGAAACTCTACTCTACATTTTTAAATAGATTCATGTTAACTCTCTAAGCCTCTCCTGAAACACTAGATCAGTGTTTGTTAACTTAACTCTACATACACAGGCGTAATTTGAATTTAGAAGCAATTAAAGACTTGAATGGTATGAAGATCACAAAGGTCAAAGACTTCAGTGATTAAAAGCAGCACATGAATGAGTGCACCGATAAATCAGTTAAAATACACCATAAAAGTGATAACAGTTGGTCGCTTAATGTCACTCTTCAAATAACACACACATTTTACCATGAACCCAAATAACTAGTCCTGTAAATCCTACAAGTGAATGGTACAAGTAAATATCTTGCATCAACGATCATCAGTAATTGAGGCACCATATTTGATAGTAATTTGAGATGTTAGAGCGTTTTAATATACCAAGATCTTTTTAGTTTATAATGATTTAGGATATTAGTTCATTCCTAAGTTGGGCTTGCCTTTGAAGTATTGCTAGTTACCTTGAATCAACATATTTATCATACTTGAATAATATTGAGAATTTTACTGAATTTCCTTTCTCCCCTTTTATGTCTCTAAACTCTCCCCCTATTCTTTCTCTCTCCTTTCCTTGTCCTGCAATAAGTGTTTGTGCACTTCAAAACAGCCACTCACTTTTCACACACTTCAGGAAACAGGATACACAACAACGTTTAAAATTTAAAATCTTCATGAACATAATTTATTGCCATACCTTCATAAACTTAGAACCTCCAAAATATTCTTCTTGCTTAAGACGAGATGTTTTCACAAATCGGGAAACATATGTCGCTTTTCCATCTTTGATACGCAAGCCATGGATCATTCTGCAATTCGGTGATATATGAATCAGAATGGGAGGACCAAACACCAAAACAAATTCTAAACAACACTGTCGACTACTCAAGGGTTAAGAAGATATGAATACAACATTAACCATACAATGACCTGCTCACTTTCAAAAGTGGATGTGCAGCTAGAACAGCTAATTAATTCAAGAAATTAAGTCTAGCTAACAGAAGTCCGTTCAGCAGATTCAGTCACTGGAACTTGACACTGCTTTAAGTAACACACCCGAAGGAAAATCCCACGCAGTTTCAAAAAAGTGAACAAGTTATTAAACAAAAAACAAAGAAAGAAAGGAAGAGATGATTTCCCCCCAAAAAAAATGACTACTGTGGCTTTCACACAGCCCAGGAAAGCACAAGCCAGTGACTAAGTGAAATCTTTTTACATGTTATAGCATGTAAGAACGAATCATTTCTTTGAATTTTGACGACTGGAAATGTCCCAAATAGTCAAATTCTCACAGAAAAACTGAATCCTTATTAGTACTTATTAAGAATATCGTCTCCTACAATTCTATTCATTAATCAGGGCTAAATTTACCTCCAGCAAAGCAAAAAGGAGTTAATATCAGAACTCAATGAATACCTTAGGTGGAATAAAGCAAGTGGGTAATAGAAAGGGGCAAAACCTAAGGTGCAGTGAAGAATACGAGTTTTACTTCCCGGAGAATTAAATAATGCAATTCAAACTGAATTAGCGAAATCATAAGCGATTACACCATGATCAATAATACAAAAAAAGTTCTAGAAATTCTAAATTATTTTATACATATCTTATAGATGTTGCTGAACACTGGTAATTCAGTTAGCTGTAAAATAAAGCATTAACTCCCATAAACATGAAATGATGATTGAGGTTTACGTGTCAGAAGTATCCCTTAGCTATTGCAGTATAGAGATTCGGCAAATAAAGCTATTGGTCTTTCCTGCTGTAGATCAAATGTGACAATACTGGTATCATGAAAACATAATTCTTCAACGAACTGATAAAAAACCTAAGTTTGAGTATGAGAAGAGAATCACATACCCATCTCCATCAAACCTGCAAACGAAAGGGAAGAAACGAGGTATAAACATAAAACTCCAGATTCAGAATAAATATTTTCATTGAGACAAACTATCCCAACTGACAATATATGGTTCAATGCTCAAAAACAAAACATTACCAGTGATATCCAGCCACAGGAGCAAACTTAGGATTAGGTCCCACCCTGACAAACTCTCCATTTTAAACAATCCTGAAATTCACTGGCATGTCATCAGAGGCAGAGCGTATTGCTGGAAACATTTTAGTCACTCAAATGCAATCCAGAAATTAAGCAATAAAGATAAAGCAATAAAGATAACATGATTATCCATTGTCGAGGCAATTGGAGAAAACTGAAAACGACCAAGAACAAGAACTGGGGCAGAGGTCGGAATAATACAAGTTGCTAATGAGTTGGAACAAGCCAACCCTCATAAATCTGGGCAAATTAGAGGCTTTCAGCATTCTTATAACCACGAGACGCATGCCATTGAAAGAAACATTGAGGTGAAGCCATGCGGAGAACAAGTCAGTAAGACAGCCTCTTAACAGCTGGTTGGATTCTCATGTTAGCTACCGGATTCCACATGAATGAACCATGCAATGCTTTTAGTTTACACTTGCAAGTCTTTCGATAATTTCATCTTTGTAAATTATTCGATATTTTCCATGCCATGTATGAACAAATATCATTCATGTGTTAACCAAAAAGAAAATATCAATAATGTCTTCGAAGTAATTCCAGCTTGCTCTTTCAAACCTATCAAGCAAAGAAATAGTATTAAGCAGTAAGACCGTCTTATTGCCAATCCTCAGCTACGTTTATGCTACAATCATTTTCATTTCGAGGCAAGCAAACTACTTGAATCTTCAATTAGTATTCTCGTTATCATGAGAATTCACCAACGTTCAGCTCGACAATCAATAATTGAACCTTCTCAGGCTAACATCCATACGTAAACGAGTAGTATACAATGAAACTGTAGAAGTTCTTGCTCGCTAGGGGGGAATAACGAGTAGTAGCAATTAATAATTCGAAACGTTGGAAACAGCAACTCAGTCAATTTTTAATAATCAAAATTTCTCTCAGTCAGCTGAACAACGAAATAAAATATTACATAAGACTCAATTAATTAATCTTTGTTTTTCCATCGCTCACGTTCTTTCCCTGCCTCGGTTATCCAATGCAGCAAGCAAAGGCACGTCATATTATACAACGGACCACATGAAACAATACGCGAATAACTCAATAACAGTAACACTGTGTATACAAGACCCGACTGGAATTTGTACTCACCGGGAGATAGCCTTCTACTGGGAGATGCTTAGTGGGAGGCGTCTCGTCCGGAACGGCAGCGAAATTACCAGAGAGCCAGTGATGTGGCTTAGTGTATCATTACATGAACCTAACCACCAGTTTCTCCAAGAGATCAATCGCTTTGGAAGTAAATCCACTGTAAGGCTTGGGGTCCACCTTCAATATGCCGTGTCCAGCTGCTTCGCCGTCGCCGTTAATATTCTTATCACGCCATTTTGTACTCTCTCTGTCTTCCTTCCCCCTCCCTCTGTGGCTGTGAAAATGGGTCGGTCACTGAGAGGTGAGGAAGAAAGACCTTTATACGATCAAGTGTGGAATTATCAATTGATTCGTGGGATGGTTCAGTGCTTCAGTGATGGCATTGTTGGTTATGCTTCTGCCACGTTATTACCAAAGAAAGAAAAGATTGAAGCAAAACTCTGAAGTGTACGTTGGTGTTGACATAGTGGGAAAAAGACGACAATTTTGACAGATACTATTTCTTCCCAGAAGAAGATTCTTTATCGAATGAGTACAACGGTGAATGGTGACCGTGAGCCACGATTTTGGGCGTGATTGGTCACACAAATTTATGATCACGCAGGAAAACTTTTAACTGTATCAGTGCATTCTTAGCATATCGCATTTGTGTCATCATGCTGAGAAAACAAACCTGTTGCGTGGCTGAGAAAACAAAATAGTGGGCAATTGGGTAGGGATTTGCATTGGGTGCTCATCAGTTTTGATGAGCACCCAATGCTTATCAGATCTGGACTGTTCCAGATTAGATCTGGAAGGTCCAGATTTGATTTTAATTTTATTTTTTATTTTTAAATAATTAATTTAATAGATATAGAATAAAAAATAAAGATAATATCTTAATTATTATTCTTTAAAAATATAATTTTTTATTTTAAATAATTATTTAAAAATATCAAAAATAATTATTTAAAAATATCAAATTTGGACCCGTTCATATTAGATCTGGACGGTTCAGATTGCTCATCAGGTGATGAGCATCCTGATAAGCACTGAATGCGGACCGATTGGGTAGAAGATTCACATCATGGTTTGGGTGTTTGATAGAAACCAAACCATGGTTTCAGAAGTACTTTACGGATTACGAAGTAAAATATGTGGAGGAATTACCTTATTTTGCGGAAAAGTGCTTCTGAAACCATGTTTTTTGGGTTTCCCAAACACCCCCTTAAAGTAACTTTCCGGTATAGTGTCCACTTATTACACACACCCTCCCATTTTGAAGTCATCCCGAGCATTTGCATTTAAAGTGAAAATTCAGGTAATTTTCTTCAAAATTATTAAGTAATATCGTATTAGAAGGATGTTGGGATAACTTAAAAGTATTTTTATTTTTACTTTCATATTATTTATTTTTTATATTATAAAATTTTTAAAATCATAATTTACTTTTATTTTATTTCATATATTTATTTTATATATTATAAAAATACTTTTAAAATTATAATTTGATGGCTATCCAAAGTCCGCCTAACTCATCAAATTACTACCTCTGCCCATGACACTTTTCACGGTTGGACAGAAAAGGAAACTTCTGGACAAAGCACGTTCACCCACCCGTGACTAGAATCTACCGTTCGTGTCCAGTACTAATTATATCTCTTATCCTAATTATAAAATCTTATTAGAATTAAAAGTAGTATATAATCTTATTAGAAAATCGATATTGGTCTTATATATAAAATATATTTCATATGTTTATTGATTTTTTTAAATTAGTCTTATTGATAGTCTCTCAATAATAATCAATAGTAAAGATGGAAGAAAAAAATTAAAAAAGATGCTTAGAGTATTTTAAAAAAGGAAACAAAATATCATACCAGCTCCGGTCTTTAATATAAGACCCAGTTGATTAATTTGGAGAGATTAAGAAAATTAGTTATGTTAGTTATTTATATACATAAATGTTATCTTCCCTAAAATACTCTTATTAATCATTGTATTTGAATTACTCATGGATACTAACTATTTTGACATATGCAAATGCTATGGAAATTACTTGAGGACAAAATAGATAAATATTAGAAACAACTAGAGTTGGGTTTTATATTTAGAACGAAATTAAAAGTCAAATTAGTTATTTATATTAATACTGAAAGTAGTATTAATTAATTTAAGTAATATTTTTAATTACCAAATTAGTACGGATGACTATATGATTCGAGACAGATCAGGACAAAATAGATAAATATTAGAAACAAACTAGAGTTGGGTTTTATATTTAGAACGAAATTAAAAGTCAAATTAGTTTTTATATTAAAAACTGAAAGTAGTATTAATTAATTTAAGTAATATTTTTAATTTACCAAATTAGTACGGATGACTATATGATTCGAGACAGATCATATTTCAATATGTATTTCTTAATGTGGGGAGAAAAAGGTAAAACTCACCTACTAATTGCAGAGGATAAACCCAGTAGCTGTTCAGAAGTAGAACGCTAAATCCGGGTTGTATTGGGAGTTTTGGGATGGATTTGTTAAAACATACTTAAATATTGGTTAATTCTGTTTAACGTTCTTTTTAATTTTGCTTTCCATATTTATTAGAAGTTTGAGATGATTGGAAGAAATACTATGAGCTGGTGGGAACAAAAAAAAATAACGAAAGAACACAATTATGTGTTGTGGATATCTCATTTTACTTTATTTTTAAATTTATAATAATTTTTTTCAAAATATTTTTATCGGTGGTAAATATCAAGAGAATTCTATCAAGGACAATTTCAAATGCATATATCAATATATATTTGTTACAAATAACTAACTCAAAAAATTATTTATTAATGTCCGCAAATTAGTTTCCAAAAAAATTATCTTTTTTTAATTAAAAAGTTTAGCAGTAATAACCTAAAATTACAAGTAAGATTGGATTTGCGACCTACCACTTATAAAAAGCATAATGTGAGGCCTTTAGCCCAACAAAAAAATATCTCACAGTAAATAAAGAGCTATGACATAATACCATACTCTCAGAGGCAGTATTTTGAGTTTTGACAATTGACACAACTTAGAAAGTAAAACAAGCAAGTTAGTACTCCAGTATTAAGCACCCATATAACTGGAATAACGCAGCAAGAATTCTGGACAAGCATGAGCAAATCAGTAGATGGTAACAAAGGGGAAAATACCTCAACTATATGTATCCTTCTGGATAAAGTCAGAATTGAAAAATGATGAAATAAAAGGCTCATATAAAACTATCTCTATCATTAAAAATTTATGTGAGGAGAAGGTTCTAGTACCTGGTATTTGAATTCTGTTATTCAAACTTACTGCCAATCTTTATTTTAATGATAGAGATAATTTTTTGTATTTAGGGCGTTTTAGTAAATTCTCATGAAGAGGTTGTGAGATGTGAATTTTACTACTTCTGTCTTTAATATAAAATCTACTTTGCAGTATAATTTTTATTATAAAATAAGTTTTATATTAAACAACGCCTTTTAGTAATTTGCTGGCCAAATTTAAAAAAAAAAAAGAGACTTAAAAATAAAATGGGGTTTTCTAATATCTTGGCCTTTTTTAAATGTTACTAATGATGACATATGCCTGCATATGCATTATGTTTCTTAGTTGTTTTTCTTAACATTATCTACATCTTACCCCGTATATATATGTATGTATATATTAAATTTAAAATATACTTTATTGATAAAAAGGAAACTAATATATAATACATATTTTTATATGCTAGACTTCTTTTTAATTAGAAGAATGTTTATATAAAGTTATAAATGATGATAAAATTGAGTAGTTGTAAGAATATAAATTTGATTTTTGTGTTTATTTAGTTTAGAGAGGATAAACGCATACTTTATTTTCGAATTTATATAGTGCGTAAATTAAGTTTCGTCTTTTTTTTTTTTAAATGTA